CTCCACACAGACCATCTCTCCTGAGCAGACGTTCTTTAAATATAGCCTGGGCCCCTCCCATTGCCAAATCAGCCACTTCCTTTGGTCAGGCCTCAAGAGAGGGGACATGGAGAAAGACAGCTGCCACTTCTTCCACTGAGAGCCAGAGAGGCAGTGTTAGAACTGCCTGTACGTCTTTTGCCTGTCATACAGACTTGTTCATCTGCAAACACATCTGTGATCAACTCTACTCTGGGTAGAAGTCCTCGGAAGTAGTTTCCAGCATCATCCTGTCCCTTCAACAAGATCTCTGGGGACACTTACTGCATTTACCACAGGAAACAAAGCCTCTTTTACAAAAATTAACCCCCTTCTTTCAATCTTCTGCAAAGAGCCATACAAGCATTCATAAGAGCACCTATGATGGACACCATCTCCTTCAGCAGATTTAATTTCACCTTGACAAGGACAGGAATGCCACCAGCATGTTCAACATGAGGACACAGCCTTAGAAAGGATAAAAATCTCACCTGAGGCCACATGGCTAACATTGACAGCATCAGGATTAAAGAGAGGTTTAAGTCCACCTGTGCTCTCTCCTCATGTAATGCTGAGAGTAGGACAGCTCCACATGACCTTCACTGAGTGGTAGAGGAGCACACCACATGCAGCACTGGCCTGGGGTCCTCTCAGCTGTGACTCCCCTGGTTGACACAGGAGTTCACACTTGGACTCATACCTTTGCACGGCCTTTTCAGGGCTCTCAGAAACCAAAAACATTTCTCCTTCCCCAGAAAAGAGTAGATACCTTTTAGAGTCCCACTTAGAATTACAGGTTTCTAGGGATTATTTGTGTCAGATGGGTTTAAATCAAGGAAGACTCCAAGGAAGAGGAGTGATCACAGCCTCTTTGACACAAATGTGGAATGTCTTTGGAGACAGAGGAAGGAGAAGGGAGGGATCCTCAGAGCAGAGAAGGGGGTAGATTAAGGCTTGGAAAAGTGGGCTCACTGCCATGCTGTGCAGAGGATGTGGGGTGCAGGGAATGGACACACACTACATGGGGTTCCACTGGCCATCTGCAGATCTCCCATTCCAGAGTCCAGAATCTGGATCCCTGAGGGAACTGCACAGCCTCTTCCTGCAGTCTGCTTCACATTCCGCACATTCTTTACGCTCAATTAAGGCGAAATAATCAGGGGAGCAAGCAAGGCCACAGCAGGGCGGCCATGCCCCACACTGCCAGGATCACATGTGTGGAGACAGCCTCCCTCCAGAAAGCCAAGCAAAACCTGGGGCCAGAGGGTTCAGAAGGAGGAAGAAAGCAAGTGGTGAGGGCCAGGGTGTCCCTCTGCTTTCCACAAAACAAAAGAGTAAAGGAGGCTGAGGAATCAGGAAAAGGGCGAGGTCAGCACTAAGGGAAGACAGAAGATCCCAGCCATCCATTTCTAAGCATGCCGTTGCTTCACTACAATCACCATCCACCATGGCATGCCCCTTGAAACTTCTCCACATGTTTATGATGTCACTGGCCTTCAGTTAGGGCCATGGGAATGATGTCTATAGTCCTCAAATCACACTGTCTCAAGTCTACAGGGGGATGCCTTTCTTGGCCTCAGTGGAACACACATGGACTTAATAGACCTGGTCAGCCAAGCAAATTCCTACTCCCTCAAATCCAAGACTGCCTCCCCCTTTTCAGAAGTCCTCCCTGACATCTGGCAGACCCCGGGTCTCAATTCTCCTTCATCTGGTACATATAACCAGTATGGCTCTTAGCATGCTGTTTTGTTATTTTAGATGTGTATCTCTGTATCTCCAACAGAAAATGAGAACTACCCAAGTGACCATTCTTATTCACTGAGCATCTTCTATGTTCCAGGCACCTTGTCAGCACTGGGTAGATGACTTAATTTAATTCTTTTAACATTCCAGAGACCATTAATATTCTAATCCGCAATTGCCCACAAAGAAGTTGAGACTCAGAAAGTTAAATGACTAAGTCCAAAATGACCCAGTTAGTAAATCAAGGAAGTAAGGTTTTAACACAGAATGGAAGAATGTCAACACTCATGTTATTAATAAATTACTAAAATGTTTAAGGACAGGGTCTGTCTATATTTAACTATACTTACTACCATGTGATAAAGAATAGGTATAGAGGTGCTCGATGTAGGATGGATGGGTGGGTGGGTGGATGGATGGGTCGATGGATGGATGGATGGATGGACAGACAGGCAGATGGATAGACAAATAAATAGAAGGATGATATATATTCCACAAGTTCAGTCACATAACTGAGAAAAAAACTCTCTTTCCACCTCCTTTATGTTTATATCAATGTACTAAACTTTGTGAGATGATTTGTTAGCTCCAAGGCCCATTCTATGCTCTTTTGGTCTCAGATTATGACCACTCTTTAGATAGTCTGTAGCCACTTGGAGCTTCAGACTAGGAGCATATGGGAGCTTCAGTTTAGGGACACTGTCATGGGCTTCCCCCACAAAGGCCCCAAAAGATTAATCCATTGATAGGGGCCCTAATTCAATGTCATTATTGGGAAATGGGGCCAAGTTGGAAGAAGTAGGTAACTGGCAATATACCTAGCAAATGCTCTCTCTCCCTCTCTCTCCCTTTCTCTCTCTCTCTCCCCCTCTCCTTCTCTCTCCCTCCCTCCCCTTCCTCCCTCTGTCCCTCCCTCTCTTCCTCCCTCCCATCTCTTTCTCTCTGCTTCCCAGCCACTCTGAGGTGAACTGCCTCCTCTAACACACATTCATGCCACCATGATATCTCTTTCACCTTGCCTCAGGCCTAAATCAATAGAGCCAGCTGCCAGCTGACCATGGACTGAAAGCCCTAAAGCTGTTAGCCAAAATGGATTTTTCCTACTTTAGATTGATTTGCTCAGGTATACTGTCACAACAGCAAATGACTAACAGCCACTTGAGGTCTCAGTTCATGGTCAGAACAGTGAGCTAGTTTATCATCAAGTAAATATCTGTGTGGGCCCATGCTAGTGGATCAATCTATAACCAGTGGACATCAGAGGAAGAAAACAAATCCCTAGTGAGCTGACTTACAGCTAAATAGAAAATGGACAGTTCTCAAGACTAGTTCCTCAGTCCTGAGTATTTAGAGGTGATGATGATGGGCAAGAGTGACTGGGAGAACTCAGGCTGGGGTTCCTGGACCCACTAAGTATATGCCAGCGTGTGCTTTGTGATTCTCACATACATGAGAATGCACAATATGGCCCATGTGCACTGTGTGTTGGGGCAACAGGGGTAGGGCAGGGTGTGGGAGAGACAAGCACACACCTGTAATAACATTGGCTTCAGACGCTAAGAGAGAAGAAATTCCCCCAACTGTTTTATCAGAGCCCAAGTTACCAAATTACGTTGTTGTTTTAAATTTGAGCTTCTCTGCCTGCAAATGGGGGGGAATCTCAGGCTCCACTTCCCAACCCTACCAGGATCTCTGAGCTCCCAGGCCCCAGGAACAAAAGTCTTCTCTCTCAGGGCTTTGAAGTGGAAACACTAACTGCTCCCTTTAATTAGAAAGAAACCCCCTATTGTTCCTACTTTATTACTGATGGATGAAGACATAGCAGGGGGGAGATTCTGAAGAGCATGGTTTGGTAGGGGGAGGGGAAGGAGGGGACAAGAAATCTCTATTTAGAATAGAGAATCTCCTAGGCCCAGTCCATGTACCAAGCAGGCCTCTTTGTCCACCTCCTCAATAAAGATTCTACTGGGCCCCCTGCCTTTTGATCAAACATTATAGGGAGAATGGAAGATAGCCCTGGAAGAATTTATGATCTAGGAGAGGCAGGGCAGGAGGATGAGAAATGGGAGAGGGCTGACATTAAATCAGTTCTGTTGATATAAGCAATAGGAATATACATGGAGAGGCAGTCATGTAAGATGATCTCCTGAGATAATTCTGAGAGTGGGGACTGGGAATGAGCTCGATTCTAGTCTGGAGAGTTGGCAGAGAGACCAGAAGGTGTTCCCTGGCTCTACAGGTAGGAGTCCTGTGCTTAGCTTTTTGAGGACAGTTAGGAAATGAGGCTGGCTGAAGAGGAAGATATGAGCAGGGGACCTAGGGGAAATCCAGTAGGAAAGATCAGGAAAGGACACTTTGAGAGGACACAAAGAACTAGGGAGCCACTGGGCCTCTGTAAGAGGCTGCCCTTGTGGAGGTGGTCTGGCAGCCCTGTGCAGGAAAAGCTCATGGCGGGGAGAAATGTTGAGGAGCTCCCACAGAAGCCTGGATAATGATGGCTTAGATGGAGGTAACAGCAAAGACCAGGAAGGGAAGGTGAGTCTGGGATAGATTTCAAAGGAGGAAGCAAGCTGTGTTGACAGCACAGATATGAGGGGATAAAGGAACAGCAACAGTCAGACACCTCTAAGATCTGTAGTCTGGGAGATAGGAGAGTGGTTGGGAGGGAAAGGGAACATGGGAAGTCCTCTGGAGGAGTGAGGACCCAGAACAGTTAAATAAATCCCCCAAAGCTTTGCTCCTTTCCAGTGTCAAAAGATGTCCTGAACCCAGTCCTGGGGGAAAGGAAGGTCCTGCTCCTGAGACTACACTATCAACAGAAGCAGCCTCTGTACCGGCTTCTTTCAAGCACTTCAAAGTGACTCACACCTGTGCCTCCTTTGATCCTCAAAAGAACCACAGCAGGTGTCAGTATCCCCATTTTGTAGATGAAAAACTGAGACCTAGAAAGGCCAAATCATTTGCCCCAAATCACAGGACTAGTTTAAGAGTAGAGAAGACTTCCAGCTCAGAAGTCTTCCCAAATGCTTGTTGGAAGCTCAGGGAAGGAGAGGGACCAGGGCCACATGTGCCCTGAGTCACTGGGGGCAAGAAGTCTAGGGATCAACCAAAAGGTCAACTGGGATTTGAACCACACCCTTCGCCTCCCCCTCACAGGGCATAAGGCGGGAGCCCAGGGTTGGAAATGCCAAGTCAAATCAGACTTCGCCCACAGGTGGTTTGAATCCGCGTGTTACCTTGATAGGAGTAATAAGGAGTCCTGAAGACAACCTCATGCCAGCTCCATCCATCCAGGCAGAGAACCACATCTTCTATGAGAACTTCCCTGTCTGGGGTCCCACACCCTGAAAGCCCAGCAGATTCCTCATGAGGAAAGCCCCTGCCCCAGAGAATGCCTGTTCCCCAACACCCCCCACCCCCCAGGAGAACCACCCCAGGTTGCCAGAAACCTCTGGCCTCAGGTTCTGATCTGACAAACTTTGACTGAAACATTTCTTAAGGGCAAACACAGTTCCTAGGAATAACCAAATAACCATGGGTGATAAGCTAGGGAGGGGACTGTGGGACAACCTGAGCAGGGCAGATGAATCCGGATACAGACAAATGCAGGCAGATGAAGACCAGGCAAATTAATGTTCCACCTACTTCCTGGCAGAAGGAGTGCACTGTGGTTTTGTTTTTTGAGTAGAGTCTCAATGACAAATGTCACTGTGACATTTCTTTTCATGAGACACTTAACCAAGGTTGTCCAAGGCCCATGAAGACCAGGATTAATCCACGTACAAGGTCACAGAGTCCCAGGAATTCAAAGATCTTCTCAGAACCAGGCCCCCAGAACAGAGAGGCCTTTCAGCAGGGAAAGCTCTCAACTGTGTCCCCAATCCCTGAAGCATCAAAGTTTGGGCAGGAACCAGTTTAATGAAAATTTGGTCCTGCCTCACTCCCTAGCCTTGCAAAGATTGTTTAGGAGCTTAAAACACAATGAAGTTAATTTTTAATAACCTTTCATTGAGTTCCATGAGACCCCTATTAATTTTATTGTTTCAATAAAGCATTTATTTAATTGTCTCCAGAAGGGCCCTGTTAAATGCACAGATGTTACCTGAGTCAGGAGGGAGGGAGCCTGGAGCCTTTCTTTCACCTTTTCCCATTAGCACATTAGCAGGATTCTGTTATGGGATTAACTGATTGTCACCTTAAAATCACAGGGTGGAGTGCCAAGGGAATGAGACACCTCACAGGTAAACTCCAAGACGAAAGGCGGGTCACAGTTGCAGGGAGTCAAGTTCAGGATGAAGAGGCTGGCTTGGGTTAAGAGAATAGAGGTTTTGTTATTCTTTTCCTATTGGTAAGGAGACACTTGCCATTTAGTCTTTAATATATGACTGATGTCTCTAGGAAAAGAAAAATCAGAAGATGAGCACATTACTAGATGTATGATGTCCAAACCATAGGCAGTGAAGCGTACAAATACACTAGCAAAAGACCTCTGAATGATCATGTTCACAATTACTAAAATCCAATCTACTGCCAAATGCTTGGTGCCTGAAACATACAGTAGTGAACAAAATAAGGACTTGCTGTTATGGTGCTTGCATTCCAATGAAAGCAGGCTGATGGCAGAAAAGTAAAACTGTGACAGACCTAGCAAGACCACTTCAGAAAACCATGTCCTGAGGACAGAAAAACAGAGTAATAGGGTAGATGGCAGTCAGAAGAGGCCTATCTGATGAGGTTACCTTTGAGGCTGGATAGAGACAGTGTCCATACTGCCCTGGAAAGGTCTGAGGCCTCACAGGAAATGAAGGTGCTAGGATCGTAAGGAAGTCTTATCAAACTATTAAGAAATAAAGCTGCATGGAAGAAGCCAGAGCAGCCTGCGTCCCTATTCCCTATTGGCAATTTGGGTAACCCCTTCAGAGGATGGCGTGGTAAGAATAGGAGGTAGGAAGTGGCTAGGCAGTTAGGGTAAAAAGACCCCAAAGAAATGTAGCCAGTTTCTTGGCTAAAAGTCAAACTGTCCTTGGGCCTGTTAACAGCAACCTGTTCCAAAGTCCAAAAATGTCAAAAGTATTTGGGAGCTTGTATCTAACCCTTAAAAGATTTTAGGGTTACCTCTTCAGAGGGGGGAACGTTGGAGGGGAGGGAGTGGGCATGGATTTGATCAAAACATCTTATATGCATATATGAAATTCTCAATAAAGTTTTTGCAAAAATTTTAAAAAATAAAATAAAAATAAGGCTGCAAAGGGAAGGCCCAAGGGTCCTCTTACATCAAGAATATTTTGGGCTAGAAAGATGACTCAGGGCAAAGCATTTGCTGGGTAGTGTGAGAACCTGGGTTTGAATCCCCAGAACTCAGACACAGTAGCACATCTGTAATCCCAGAGCTCCTACCAGGAGATGGGAGGCAGCAACAGGAGGATCACTGGAATCTTGCTGGCCAGCTATCTTGCCACACACAGTAGAAAAAAAAAATCAACAAAAGGGGCTGGAGAGGTGGCTCAGCAGTTAAGAGCACTTACTGTTCTTCCAGAGGACCTGGGTTCCATTCACAGCACCCTCATGGCAACTGACAGCCACCTTAACTCCAGTGCCAGGTGACTCAAGGCCCTTCTTCTGCCCTCTGTGGCCACTGCAAACATGTGGTGCACATACATAATGCAGGCAAACACTCATACACATAAAAACAAATTAAATCACCAGGCATGGTGGCTCACACCTTTAATCCCAGTAGTTGGGAGGCAGGTGGATCTTTGTGAGTTCGAGGCCAGCCTGGTCTACATAGTGAGTTCCAGGACAGCTGGGGCTACAGGGAGACCCTGTCTCAAAAAGACAAAAAAAAAAAAGAATAAATCTTTTTAAAAGATCAAACAAGATGGAAGCCAAAGATTGACACCCAAGGTTGTCCCTCTGGCCTTCACATATGCACCATGGCACATGTGCCCCCACATTCAGGCATATAAACGCACATACGTGAAAAGATTTTTAAAAATATTTTTTATTTATTTTTATTTTATGCGTATGAGTGTGCTGCCTGCCTGTATGTAAGTGCACCCATGTCATGCAATGCCTACAGAGATGAGAACAGGCGTCTGATCCCCTGAACTGGAGTTATGAACAGTTGTTGACTGCCATGTGGGTTCTGGGATTTGAACCCAGATCCTCTACAAGAATAGTCAGTGCTCTTAAACCATTGAGCCATTTCTCCAGTCCCATGAAAAGATTTTTTCTGGGGGTGGGGGGGGATCTTTTTGAGACGGTAGCTGGTCTGAACTCACTATGTAGACCAGGCTGGCCTTGATCTCACAGATATTTCTCTGCCTTTGCCTCCCAAGTGCTGGGATCAAGGGCATGCGCCACCATGCCCAGCAAAAAGATATTTTTATTTAAAAAAAACAAAACAGAAAAAGAAATATTTCAAAACTGGCTGAATGTGATGCCACACACTTGTGATCCCATCACTTGAGAGGCAGAGGAAGGAGGATGGTGAATCCAAGACTATCTTGGCTACATAGCAAGTTCCAGGCCAGTGTGGACTACGGAGCAAAACCTTGTCTCAAAAGAAAACAGAACAAAAACAATATTTCAAGAAATGCCACAGGGCAGAGACTCCATCATTCAAAGTAGATGATCAACACACAGGGCTGAAAGGGACAGGTAAACACATCTAGGAGCTTCAGGTTTGATTGTTCTTTAGTTAAAGAAGGAAATAAAACAGAAAGAGAAAATAAAGTTTAGTTTCTACTTTAAGTCATCTGTTACCAAGCCAGGGTAGCAGAGTGTGGGGATGAGTAACTGTGGGCTAGGTAGCAGAGTATCCTGTCCTAACACAGGCACAGCAGATCTTCTAAGCTTGGTGAAGCCACCAGCCAGGCTGCCACTCAGGGGCAGGAAGTATTTGTGTGTACAAGAATCCAAGAGGGAAAAAAGGAACAAATTCAAAAGACATTTTTGAACAGCCCAGGACTAGGATTTGAGCTTGGAAACAACAGAGTCTTGAGGTGTCTCCCCTTGGAGCCTGGCTGAACAGAAATGGTGAACAACAAGAAAGGCTGGTGAGGGAGGGGCTGATGGATCCACAGACTGCTACTCTTCTCACGGGTACAGCGGTCACCTCTGCTGAGGGGCTGGAAGCAGGTAAGATGGTGCTCACATCTTATTCCAGGTAATCTCCCTTAATGGAGGGATTTTGTGTAATTTTTACTTTCTTTTTTTTTGTGCTTTTTGGAATTTTTCAAATAATTATTTTAATTCTACACAGACTTCCAGAGTCTCATTAACCCCTTGTAAACCATGGCTTCTGGTTAGTTTATTCTCTCCCATCCTCCAAAAAGGGGAGAACTGCGGTAGCCCTTGGGTTTCTGCAATGCTCTACATAGGAGCTGAGTACTTCCTCCTCAACCTGGTTTCTTTATTGCAGGAGCCTCTTCGATGTGCCCCTGTGTCCTTCCTTTTCTCCCTATAGCCACTCATCCCAGAAGGACTCACCTCTATCCTTTACAGGTTCAATCAACACCATGCACTTATCTTTTTTTATTTGGTCTTTTTGAGACAGGGTCTCCCTGTATCCCCAGCTGTCCTGGAACTCACTATGTAGACCAGGCTGGCCTTAAACTCCCCCCGACCCCCAGTGCTGGGATTAAAGGTGTGTGCCACCACACCCAGCTACACTTATTTTTTTAATCAAGACTGCAGTGCTAGGCTTGGAAAGGTGGTCCCTGGGGTGGGTTTTTTTTGGGGGGCTGGTATTGTTTTAGCAGAAATCAGCCTAGCCCAGCATGCAGGCCAAAAGAGGAAATTCCCAGCAGATACTGCAGTGAGAGAGGCCTCAGCTCAAGTTTGGGCTCTGTCTGCTGACAGCTATCTCTAAACACTTTACCTAAGCTTCTTATGTCAATTTTCTCATCTTGAAAATTGGAGATAATAGTAGCATTTATCTCCTATAGTTAAGTAAGATTATATGATAATGAAAAGCATTTAATAAGTGTGCTCTCTCATTAGTATTAATAAGAACAATAAAATAATAAATCTTTATGACCAAACCTTGTTACCCAGAGGCAAAAGTGACCTTAATGAACTTCTGTCTTGGCTTCCTTCAGTGCCTGGTATTTTCCTCCCTGCCTCTCCCTTTGACTGGATTTTTTTTTTCCTCTCAAACTAATGAAGAGATGAGGAAAGACCCAGAAGCAGGACCAGAATCCCTGCTGCTAAATTTTATGATGGTCTGTTATGCCACTTGTGACCACTGCAACATCCAACAGATCCCTGAGTTTTACCAGCTCCTTCATCTATAACACAGGTAGTCATGCTGACCTCAGTACATATAAGGAGTAGGCCATTCTTAGTGCAGGGCAGGCCTTGAGGACATGGCAATTCTCCATCAGAATTCCAGGCAGGGGCCTGCTCCAAGTTCTTTCCTGCCTGTCCTTTGCCTCTGACCTTCCACATTCACCTTGGCTTCAGGCCCTAATGATCTGAGGTGAATCTTCCCAATTATACGTTAAGAGAAAAGGCAAAACCAAGACTCTCTTGCCTGGGAATAGCAGCCTTCCTCCTCCATCTGGGTCCTGGTGCCCTCAAGAAGGAATAGAAGGGATGAGAGAGAGAATTGCCCACTCCTCTATAAGTCCAGAGCTAGATGCACAAACTCTAGCCCTTCTTTCTCTCGACCCTCCTCTTCCCAAGCTTCAGCAAAGAGAACTGATTCTATCTTCTTGACCATGGCGTAAGAGAACCACTGCTCCATCAACTCAGGGTACACTGGATTAGTCAGAAAAGATCTGTATGTTAACTCCTATCTACCCCCACCTCCAACACACACACACACACACACACACACACACACATACACGTGGACACCTACCTGCTGTATACCAAGAGGAAAGTGCTCCACCAGCTACTGCCAGGGTCCACCCATCACTGCTGATGGACAGCCAGTTCTCTGGCTCTCTACCTGCTACTTGGTCTGCCCAGGATGGGCAGAAGCCCTGGGGTTTGACCCTGCTGTTTTCCCTTCCCACCTCCCAGCCTCTCCATTCAGGACAGGGCCTCAGCCCCAAAACAAACCCCTTGACGCTTTCTCTCAGATCACACATACCTATTAGTCCATTCATAGAAAACAGTGAAGGAAGGGTACAATCTCAGAGAGCCAGAAAAGGAAGAGAAGCAAGTATCACCACAGAGCATCTCTGGTGGGTGAGGTTGAGCAGGAAGGCAGGAGCTGGCAAAAGCTGACCCAGGAAGAAGCTGGAGGCAAAGCCACTAGAACAGACCCAAGTGCTGAGGAGACTTCGCAGGCAGGCTCAGCTGTGGAAGCACAGGAGCCCTCAGAACTTTTTCGCTCCTGGGTTCATAAAGGGCCTTATCCCTGATATGGTTATGGAGTTGAAGGGACTCGTTCCCAGCCAGAGACCCTCCTAAGGGAACTAAGCTCTTTTCCAGAAACCCGCATGTCCCCTTCCAGTTTTGTCTAACTACCTTTCTCAGGATTTGGGGGTTTTGACTCTCCCCAGTTTCTACATCTTTGTCTATTTCTGTTCTCTCTCACTTGCCCCACCCCCACCTCAGATAATTTCTTGGGGATTCCGCCTTGGGGCTCCTGCTGTCCAGCGTGTAGGAAACATGACCTCCATCATCTGTTTTTTATATTTTGGAAACGTCAGCTTCACTTCCTACCTGGGGGAGGTGTGGGTGGAGGAACAGGCTTTCTAACCCTGCGCCTTTTCTCATCCTTTCAGAATTAGTCCCCTCCCCTGAATGCCTGGTACCAAGAAGGACAGCTGAAGCTGGACCCCTGCTCTTGGTCACTGTTCTACCCAGAAGCTGAATTCAGGCCTTCATTAGTTCACCTGCTGTAGAGAAGAGCCTCTTGTGATGAATTGCTGGTCTGCTGATTTGGAGAAAAGTGAAAACTCCAGGTCCAAAGGGAACCTGAGAGGCTGAGAGATTTCATTAATGGAAACCAGAGGGAAGTGGTTAAAGTTAGTTCTACCTCTAGGCAGAATTACAGCCAACCAAATTTTCTAACAAGTCCAAAATGTTTACTTAGTATATTAATACTAGATTACACATACTGAGGGTTTGCCCTAACTTTATGTGGTAGGTACTATGATCATTTCTCATTAAGAAACTAACCCATGGAGAAGCTAACTTAGCAAAGGAATCTCTACTGAGAGTGAATCTCTGATTACAAGTCCCAAGCTCTTTACCCAAGTTTTCCAAGACCTGAGCAATACATTCTATACATTTCCTTCTAAAGGAAGTCACAGAATTCCAAGAGTATACCCTCCAGATCCTTGGGTGCTGTGTACCCCAGTTTCAGAAGCATTGTCTCCAGTTTACTACTTTCTGGAAGAGCTTGAAGAAGCAGCTGATGAAGATGAAGGGAAGGGCTGGAAGAAGGTATTTCAGGAAGGAGGACCAGGAAGAGAAGGGATTGATGGGAAGGGGCAAACGATGGGGAGGGGGTCAGGAGGCAACACTGGTTTCAGGCTGGAGAATATGACTTTCTTCGGGGCAATGGAAAGGTGGGCACAGGCCTGAGTAGAGGGCTGGGGGTTAGCTCATGGAAGCGTGAGTTACCAGTTCAGTTCATCATGCAGGTATGCCAGCAGGAAAGCAATATTCCAAAAGGAACCTGGGCTAGAAAGGGGTACTACAACATAGACAACACCTGAGGATCTGATGACATGCAGAAAGAACGTACCTAAGAAGCACCTCCATAGAAGTGCAGCGTTTTGGCATCTGGACTATATGCCTCCTTCCCAAGCATGGTATTCAAGTTAGTGTTTAGGACTGGGTGGCAGAGTAGGAGGAAGGGGAGAGAAAGAAAACACAGTGAGTCCAAAGCATGGAGCCTTGTTGAGCTAACACTAGTCTGAGGACTCCTGCAAGCAGTGGGGAGGGGGATACAGGAAGACACTACAGTCTGAAGGCTGTAGTGGAAAAATAGAACCAGATCTGAACTAGACACTGGCTGGAGGACTCCGACCTGTGAAGCCCGGCTGTGCACCCTGCTTGGTCTCTGGGTGGTCAGGCAAACAGATGCTACCTAGAGTAGCATCCCATAGTGTCTCATGTCTTTCCAGTTCTTTGAAATGATTCTTCTCCCTGTGTGGCATAGAAAGTAAAAAGGAGGAAGAGGAAAAGGAGGAGGAAGATGAGGAAAAGCAAACTATCAAAATTTGATTAAGAACTGCCAATTCAGAAACTAATCTGTTCAGAAACTCTAATCTATTCAAAAGTCCAATTTTTTTTCAGAAGCCACAAACCTATTTCCACCTCTGATCATGTATGCCTATATGTCTGAAGTCGGTCGAGGGAGACAGAGTGTGAGGGGAGACAGGTGAAGTATCTTTGTTTCTGATTGTGAGGCTCCTGCTTGCAGGGGTTCTGGGTGTGCTGTGTGTACTTTATGCTTGTTTCTCTGGCCCTTGTTGTGTACAGAACTTTCAAACCATAACAGAAACACTGAAGCTTGGCAGAGATATCACAGGAATAATTATCTAATTTCAGAACATGTTATTATAATACCTACAAGATGTGTAATGAAGTTAACAATGTTCACGTTCTAGTCACCAACTCTGAGCTGTTACACCCACAATGCCAAGCCCTCCCCATGAAATTTCTCCAAGACATGAACACTCAGGAGGACCCAAAGAAAGCTCTTTAAGGAATAGGCCTTCCATGGTGGCTTCCTCAAAGACTGTGATGTTTGGTTGAGCAGCTCTCTTTGGTGAAATTGCCAGAAGAGGGATAGGACCTAGCTCAGAATGGCAGTTGCTCCTCCCAGAATCCCAGTTTTTTCCCCAGTAGAGGAGACCATGGAACCAGCAAGGAGATGGCAGTCATATTGGGGTTACCCAGGCAGACTGTCTTTCTCTGTCTCAGCTGTGGGTCAGGGGACCTCTGATCTACCCAACTCCCCACCTCTTCCCTGGGGGTCTGAGGCCGGCTCAAGCTTACTGTGAGGGGGGCTGTTTGCTGTTTGCTGCTGCTCCCTGTTGACTTTAGCCAGTAGCTCTGTTTACAAACCCAGGTTGGTTTTCCCAGCACAGTTAATTAGACCAAAGACATCTGGTATGAGGGCTAGGGAGGGCATCTGCTCAGAGCCTTCCCCCCACACCCAGCAGACATGGGATAGAGCAGGGCAGAGCAGCTAAACAGGAACAGATCACACTCCGTCAAATCCAAAGGTCTCAGGGGGAATCATGACTTCCTTCAACCTGCCTTTCCCATGACTAATAAGTTAGCATGGCCGGGACTTTCTGAGCCTTAGGGACCAAGAAGTAAAGGCTGGAAGACCTACCTCAATGGGATCACAGGCTGGCCATAACATCTGCATACACACACACACACACACACACATCCTTCCATGGCTAAAAGTACTGGGAAGAAGACTCTTCTCTCACCCCTAAGCCTTACCCTCCAAAGCCCCCAACCCAACTCCTCAAGCAATCCTTAACACTACCGGAAAAGAGATTTTCCTGCCCAGAAGGAAGCAGGAGGGGGCTCTAGGAGGTGAGAGGACCTAGGTCCACAGTTTCTGGGCAGTGGGGAACTGAAGAGATGTGAGGGGGAGGGGCAGAGGCTTATCTCTCACAGGAGGTGGGGGAGCTCACTCCAAACAGCTAATGCACTGGCGTGTGAAAGCCCCTCAATTAGCACTAATGATGCAATCAGGGAGGGAGGAGGAGGGACCAGAACTGATGAAGTCTGCACCTACTTATACAGCAGGCTCATTCTCCCTTCATGGGACACAGTGGCCCCCTCATGACACGCGAATGCACACACTCCACAGACAGACGTGAGTGGGCACCAATGCACTCACTGCATAAGATTCCAAATCCCTGCTGGCCCCTTAAACATCGGAGCTCTCCGGGATGGGGGTGGAGCTGTCTGGCTACATTTGGAGATGCATGGACCAGGAAAATCAGAAAGTCTGGGTTGAGGTGTAATTAACAAAACATCTCCAAAGCTTCGTGATTAACTCTGAGACCCAGGTCCTGTCCTACGCGTGCACGCAGGTGCCGGCCCCCTCCCCAGACCATCCATCCTTCTCCAAACCCAGAACCCCGGCTGGTCCAGCAACCCCCACGGGAGGCTGGACCCACGTGCCTTACCCCGCGTCCCGCCCGCCTCGAGCCCCCCGGGGCTGCGGATCTCAGCGATCCCCGCACAGGTCCTCGCACCCGGGCCTCGGCCGCCCGTCCCTCCCGAGCCGGTTGCCGGCCTCGCTTCTTCATCTCCCCCCATCCAGCCCAGCCGGCTCCGCTATCCGCCTCCAGGTCCCGTTATCCGCGCTCATGCCGGGCCCCCGCGCGCCGCCCGGCCGTCTCCTCCCCCGCTCGCCGGCCGGAGCTCGGGGGCCGCGGGCTGGGCAGGGCCAAAGCCGCCTCCGCGCCGCTT